ACCACATTAAGATATTAGATATAACTTACTTGTAAACTTTCCAGAAAAAGACACGAAGCCCTTCTTCAAACCCAACAGATGTTATTATAAGCAAGGATATGGCCACCATGTTGTTGATTTGTTAGAGAAGAAAAGCCCTCCATACAGCCGACCGGATTATAAGACTTATAGCCATAGCAGTGTACTGCACATAGATAATCACAAAAACCATTGGAGCTCAACAATCTTAAGGCACAGTTAATTTACAGCAATTGCTGTTTAAAATCATAGTAAAATCACCGGAGTGACATCTTTTAGTAACAAAAAACATCACTTGTAATGCATAACGGCATTTTATTAATATTTACACTTATCTGATAACAAAATAAAATGTTACAACTTGGATATTGCATTACAAGTATGACATTGCACATTAAAATGTTACCAAAATCCTATTCTGCTATCATCTTGGTAACTTAATATGACAGTCTAATAAAATTTTGATGAAGTTTTTATTCATTTCTTAATTATTTATTGGTTCAAAGGAATGTCATTTCATAGTAGTTTCATCTAATGCTTAACAAAGAACCCTAAATCTAACATTTAATAGCTGCAAATTGAGCTCAAAAGAACTTAAAAAAAAAAAAAAACACTCCAGAATGACTCACTTAATTTCCTTTCACTTAAATACCACTGTTTGGATACCAAGAGAACTAAAGAAAACATTTTTTTCGCGCTTTAGGCTTTCGCAAGTAACAAAAATAAAAACCCGTTAACCATAGTTGTCTCGAGTCACACCCAATAATGAGAGGATAAAGACCAAGAAATCTTAACATTTTTTGCACTTTCCCTCATTTCCCTGAAAGAAAAAATTAGAGAAAATGAGGAGTGATCGTACCTGGAGAGGACAGTGAGGATCAAGAAAGGCTTCTGGAGATCACAGAGACGAAGAGAGAAAGAGAGGGTCCAAGCGCTAGCAACGCGTACCCGATTCCTGGTTACAGTCATTTTTCACTTTCTTTCCCTTATTTTCCCGGTAACAAACAACACTTTGCAGCTATTGCTCAATGTTTTGCTTTTTACCAACTAAGAACGTTGTCACTGGAAATAACGAATTTGACCGTGAGGTTTCGAAAATACTTTTATATACTTCATAGTTTGAAAAGCAAAGAACCCCCCGGTCACAGGAAACTAAACTAATTATAAATACATAAATTGATATTACAAAATTACGTAATTACCCCCTAGTTAAACAAAAACAATAGAGAAATTTAAAAAGAATGGCTTGCATATCGACGATACTGACAAATTAATCAACTTAGATTAGTGATTGACAATTCTAATGATCGATATTGAAGGTGATTGAAATCCAATTTGTTTTTCTGAATTATTATTATTATTTTTAACTATTAAATGTAAAATAACTCACTTACCCTTGAAACTTAGCTTTAATCATTAGCTGACATTAATCATAATAAAAAAAGGAGATTTGCTTACATTATGTATGAAACTGAAGGTCAGGTTAATTACCATTTAAAATTAGCAAGTATTTATATTATAAAAAAGGGAAATATATTAAATAATCCATGTCACTCTTCTTACCAGTTAAACTAGAGTTGGGCATTTGGGACCGGGCCCAAAAGTAGCTCAAAACCTGTCCTAGGACCGGTCCTTGAGAGGACTGGACCAGGAGGTCTGGTCCCAAAACGGGACCAGGCCTAAGGAGGAGGGCTCGGGCCTTCATTGGGCCCTCTTTCGGTCCGGCCCAAAAATTTTATATTTTTTTAATAGTCTCTGTCAAATACATAAAACCCTTATAATTTAAAAAATAAATTAATTCAGAACTAAAATAAAATTTTACAAAAATAAAAAAAAAAAAAACTTCAGGTCTAAAAATTTATAATTTTACCCTAAAAAATACTAAAAACCCCTATAACATTTTGTTTACCTTCAAAATATAAAAAAATCGAGGGGAGAAAATAATTATCCAAGCTCTATGGGACCAATCCGACAGTCCTAGGACCTGATCTGGGTCCTAATTTTTCTCATGGGTCTGGGACCTAGGACCGATCCCAGGTCCTGGGACTAGTCCCAAATAGGCCCAAGCTTGGGCCCATAAGGGATCGGTCCCTGCCCACCTCTAAGTTAAACCACTTCTTTGATTTAATCAATAAAGGCACTGTTTTCCTAGATTGTAGGAGTTGTTGTTTCAGTCTCTTGGAGAGACCTACTATTTTATTTTAAATTTATTACTAACATGGTATAACTAATGCAATGATTTTAGTAAGCATTATTTAACGTAGAGTAATAGATTATTTTAAACTTGGCATTATTCAACGCAATGCAATTTTGTTACCAACATTGAATTGCATTATTTAGTATTATACAATGTACTGTGTATCTAATGTTATGTTATATCACGTGTTAAACATGCTCTTACATGCTAACAGTTTGAAAACAGCGAACAACTCAACAACAAAATTTAAGAGAATCAACGAAGTCTTCTTGCACCAAAATGTCATACTCCAACCATAGATTGTAACATTCTAGAAAAAAGTAGAAAATGGAAATTAAATGATACATGAAAACAGACTAATTAAGTGTAACATATCTCATGCAAGTGAATAACAAACTTGGAAAACAAGAGAAATAAAGTTGTTTTTATTTTAAAATTTTTTAAAAAATAATGGAGGAAGAGATGTGAAGATAGAATAGAAAAGAGCATGTACAATGAATTTTAATATATTGTCTCTAAATGTATTCTTTTCATGAATTATGATTTTTGAATTATTTATCTTTAATAAAAAAAAAATGGTTAAAGAGTTAAAAAAATTAAAATAGATAACTATTGAGAATTTTTTATAATATTAAATTATTTATTATAAATTATAATTTTAATTTTAATTATATATATATATATATATATATATCGGAGCTCTGGTTAGCCACCCCCTACCCCTGACCTTGCAAAAGGTATTAAATTCCAGTTAGATAAGGTTATATGAATCAATACAAAATGCTCAAATTACTTGACAAACCATAACTCCGAGTCTCTCGTTAATATCAAAATCAACTACCGGTTATGGAAAAAGATTATCTTATTTTCTGGTTCAGAATGATTCCTCTATTCCTTCCTCCTTTTACCATCATAAAATTTCCTTATAAATGACCTGTTATGAATCAATATATATCGTTTTCTTTATTAACTTGTGTTAGAGCAAAAAAATATCCTCCGCCTGAATAGGCCCAAAGACGAAGACACCTTCAACAAAGTTCAGATTTGATTGGACTTGCAATAGAGTTCGCATATTGGATCCGTTCATTACACCTACCATGTCGTTCACTGTTTGAGCCCGATCAATAAATGTCTCGATTCCTTTAGGCCTCATCATTAGTTTATCTAGGCCTAGACCCATTGATCAAAGATCACCTACCTGACCTAGGGTTTACTTAGACCCCAAGGTTGCTTACTTCCTATTTCGGTATTATTCGGATTCCTTTGAAGAGATCTATCACTATCCTAATTTATCTAAGATCTGAATCTTAGAGTGAATAGGACTCTCTCTTCTACTAAGGCAAGAGAATCGAAGACTTTTCTATTAACTGAACCTCAACTGCCGACGACTCATAGTCCTACTAGGACTCGAAGATCTTACAACCGCTATATAAATAAAGGCCAACCCATTGGGATTGGTCAAGCTCCTTCACTTATTACTCGATCCGATCCGGAACCTATTGGGATAACACCTTTTCTTCCTATTAGTAGGTCTTCTTGCCCGTTCAGTTCCCTCTCACAAGGCAGTGAGCATTACACCTTTTAACCCCAGAGTTCCACACTAGAGAGTTATACATCATTGTCGTAGTTCTAGTCTCCGACTAAACTTCTGATAACTTTCTCTTTCTCTAACTCTCACTAAATTAGCCTCATTCAGTCTCGTTGACGGAGTGCCCATGACAAACACCACCTTGGTGTTTTTCATTCGCTTAACGCTTGTTTTCTTGTGTATGTAAGTATAACGGATTGCTGGTGGCCTCAACCTTATGGGATCACACCCCTCATTCTGTGACCGTAAATTTTACCGTCTATAAATTATTGATTGTATCCTTTATGTACATGCAAGTCCTTAATCTTTATTGATTATTCATGATTTGATTTAATGAACAGACATTTGGAGAGCCAAGTTTGGAATATTTCAAAATTTTATTTTATTTTCATTTCATTTACTTTTACTTTTCATTTTGATGATTCAGGAGGAGGTAGAGCTTATTGAAAGGAAGAAGACGAAGAAGTTGTAATCCAAACTTGACTTACGATTAACGTAATTCAAATTGAGATGATACCCAAATAGTTCATCTTACTTTAATAAGAAATATGTACTCTCTAAAAAAATAATATTTATTGGAAAAATAAAATCTCCAAGTCTTAACTCTTACGAATCAAAACTTTTAATTAAACCATAAGAGTTCTTAAACTCATATTTGAAAATATAAACCAAGTTCTTAAAACCATTTTCTTAAAAAAAAAGAAAAATTAACAAAAGTAGTCATTGTGTCTATAAAAAAAAAAAAAAAATGCCGTATGGTAAACCCTTTAACTATTTGGGTTTAATTATATACCCAATGGTCTTGTGTTTGAGATGAAAATTTCAACAAGATTATAGATGAATAACTGAGCAATAATGAAAATATTTTAAACATTTTAACTTAGAAATATTTAATTTTTTTAATAAAATATGTAAAATAAAGAGTTATTTAAAGCAAAAGAATAATTTTTGTTTAACATTGATTAGAAACAACAACCTCACTTCTCCATCGAGAGAAAATCGTTTAGTAAAATAAACTGGAATTTATGGATAGAGAATTTATTCAAGTAAAATATTATAAAATAAAACTTTTTAAGAAAAATGTTTTATTTTAAACTACAGGGAGCTTATTGTTATGATTTCAAATATCAAGGGCGATTAAAACTAATCCATTATTAACCTTCGGGTGTATTTGCATTAAACTAAATAACAGGAATCTTAATCAAATTAACCAAAAAGTAGTAACAACTCAAAAGATCGATTCCAAATCCTAAATCCCCAACAAACGCCAACAATTTCCCCGCAGAGAGACGTCGTTGGCTTTCTCCGGGAGTGTACGCAAATCACCGCCGTGTCGACACGTTGCGGCCGTACTCGTGGGCGACTCCACCACTGGTATCCTTCATACTCTCTCATCTCTTACCAAGGAAACTCATTTTGTTGTTTGATTGAATTAAGAACAGTGGCCGAGTATTGTGATGATTAGGGTTTTGTGATTTTGGGGTTTTTTAGTAACTATACAAAAATTGCTTAGATTGGACATTGATGGAAGAGTAAAATTTCTCAATTGAAATTATATTTATTGGATCACTATTGTTTGATTAAAAATAGAAGGGAATGTCAGTGGTAGTTACCCAGTTCAAAGTTTGCTTCTTTTCGTAGATGTTTTTTTATTGATTTATTGTTTGTAAGTGATTTTATTGTGCTAATTATTGAAGAATGATAAGCCTTGTAGTTAGATTTTTGTTAAGTTGTTTCAGGTTTATTTTCATACATTGCCAATTTCTATTTTTTTAGTTTTAAACTAAATCTACATAAACTTATCTTTAACTTCTTTTAGATACAAATGAAACAAACTTGAGCTCGAGTAATTCCCCTGCAAAGTTCTGGGGCTGAAAATGGGGGAACTACCACAATCTTGTTTTCACATTGCGTTCAAAGTTATATATTCTAATAGTTTATGTTTGTAATTTTACTTCCCTATATTTATAAGTTTTATTATACATACAATAGAATAATCAGAGAGGGTATTTTTGTTTTTACACAAAAGATTCTGTGTTAGATAACAAAACAAAATACTTAAATTTTTCTTAGCTTCAAGGACGTATTAGTTAGCGTTTGAAAGGTTGTTGTTGATCGTTAATGGACAGAAAGCACATGTGCCAGATTTTTCTTCTTCTAATCTAGAGTGAAGGAGCAACAAAGCAAGAGAAGAGCCATGGACTCGGACAAAGAGCAGTTAGAACAAGAGACACTGCCACTGAGCCTGAGACCAGAGTGGTCCGACGTCAAACCCATTCCTCAAGACGATGGCCCGAACCCCGTTGTTCAAATTGCCTACAAGCAAGACTTCAGAGAAACCATGGACTACTTTCGTGCCATCTACTCAGCCAAGGAGCTCTCTCCTCGTGCTCTTCAGCTCACTCGAGAAGCCATCCTCCTCAATCCAGGAAACTACACTGTAATTCATCAAATCCTTTTATTTTATTTTTTTTTCTTAGTAACGATTCTTGTATTTTCTGGGCATTTTGGCTGTGGGTTTTTTTGCCAGGGTTTTGCCTTTTGAGTGTTGCAAGTATAATGTTTCATATTACAAGGATTAGAATTCATGTAGAAAAACTGTTGTTCTGGTATGTTGATCCACATGAGAGTTATTTACTTGTTCAGATCAAGACACTGAAAATGGGTAAATGTGATTCTGAAAATGGTGAAGCAGTGACGCCCAAGATTTTCATGAATGTTAAATATTTAGGATCATTCTGATCTTGTGGTGAAGTTATTCATGACATTTTTGTTTTTGAGGAAGTCCTATTAGAGGATATACAAACTAAAGAGCCATCATTTTTCCTCTTCTTTGAAGGTTTGGCATTTCAGGCGTCAAATACTTGAGGCACTTGATGCTAACTTGCTTGAGGAACTGGATTTTGTTGGATGTATTGCCAAGGATAACTCCAAAAACTATCAAATATGGTGAGCCAATGGATCAATACGTCTATATTCATTTCAATTATTAATTCTCCCTAAATTAAATTTGTAAGTATATGAAAAAATAATGTTCCAAAACTGCCCTTGAATTGATTATGAGTCTCAAAAATCATCCAGTAGCAGCAAAAGTGGGTTCCAGGCAGGCTACCTAATGTCTAATGCTGTTTGCATATGTTTCCAATTTGTTGAACCAACCCATTATGTAAAGGATATAGTGACTTAGGAAAATCCTTCTTCACTGAGATATAACATTATATGTTTCTGGGATTCTGTGAAAATGGTCAAGAGGAACTGAATAAGATGATAAACGAATTGAAATTCATCTTTATGGAAAGATTCTCTTTGCATTTATCCAGAAGCTACTTCTCAGGTTTAACTAGTTCTGGTTGTTTTATATTGCATATCTTTTGGCTGGAGAGTTGTTGCTAATGGCTTTGATCTTCCAATAATTATGTTGAAGGTTGTAGTTATGATGATTTGTTTTCTGTACTCATCTAGGTTCATTTGCTATCACACATGACCTTCCTAAGTAGTGTCTGCCTTATTTTTGAAAAATAGGAGTACTGTCTGAATCTTAAATGATCAAAACAAACTGTCAGGTTAACTTTATAGTCTCCGAGTTTTTGTGAATCAGTCCTCATTCGCACCTGGTACCAGTGGATCATTGATAATAATGATGATCACTGTTTTTCAGGCATCATAGACGGTGGGTTGCTCAGAAATTAGGAACTTCTGCGACAAGCAAGGAACTTGATTTCACTAGGAAGATACTTTCCCTTGATGCTAAAAATTATCATGCCTGGTCCCATAGGCAGGTTTGTTAGCCTCATGTTACTTGTTTTACATCAACTACACAATATAAAGTACAAAGTCTTTTCGGTACTCATTTTTAGTTCATTTTCCATTAGTTGATTGAGTAGTTATAGCACCATTGGACTTGCACTGGTTGTATTCTATGTCAAATATGGGATTAAAAATGTAGTTTTTCTTTTTCAGTGGGTGCTTCAGGCATTAGGAGGGTGGGAAGATGAACTTGACTATTGTCAGCAGCTTCTTGAAGAGGATATATACAACAATTCTGCATGGAATCAGGTAATAATGAAATGTTGTACGCATTGCTGTTTGGATCTTAACCACGATAAAGAATGTTTCTGAGATGTTTTTGAGAATGCTTCTATAAGAACTGCTTCTTGCAGAAGCACCTGGCAGTGCTTTGTAGTTAAGAACCTGATGGGTGCTTATCTATCCTCAAAAAATGCCTTTTTATATTTTAGCTAAACACTAGAAATGAAATAAAGAAAGCGCTTTTGCAATTTTATGGTTGTTTTACTAGTACCAAAAGCACTTAGATACACACCTTTTAAGTAGTACACATGAGGTGCATGATGGATACCATGATTCAAGCTTCTAATCTTTTGTGTCACAAACTAAATGGGAGATTGGGATCAAAATTAACATAAACCTCTTCTTTAAATTCTTTTAGCACTAATTTTGATTAAAACTTTCCTCGAACTTTTTAATGCTCAGTTCATCATTTTTAAAGTTTTCCTTGGCTTCTTGTGCTCTTTGTCTATTAAGAGTTGTTGGAGAAGTTTGCCACTTTATGGCATTTACGCTCTGTGTGTTTTGTCTTTTACTAGCACAGTAACATTAGCATGCCAGTAAGGAAGGATGTCCCTCTTTGTAGAATTTCCTTTTACTTATATATGTTTGCTTGATGCAGCGATACTTTGTAATAACTAGGTCTCCCTTCCTTGGGGGCCTTGAGGCCATGAGAGACTCTGAAGTAAGCTATACTGTTGAAGCCATTATGGCCAACCCTGATAATGAAAGCCCATGGAGATACCTTCGAGGCCTTTACAAGAACAACACTGAGTCTTGGATTAATGATCCTAAAGTCTCCTCAGTATGTTTGAAGGTTTTGAATGCTAAAAGCAACCATGTATTTGCTCTGAGCATGCTTTTAGATCTGCTTTGCCACGGCTTTCAGCCAAGTCAAGACTTCAGAGAAGCCATAGATGCATTGACTTCAGACTCGGCTCCCATTGATTCTGACTTGGCAAAGGCTATTTGTGATGTTCTGCAGCGTGTTGATATGATGAGAGCTAACTACTGGATATGGCGCAAGAGCAAGCTCACTCCGGTGGCCTGATGTAATTGAGGGATGGGGGTGTTGGTCTGTTCAAGGCCATGGAAGATGGATATTATTATCAGTTTATAGACTGTTAGTTTTAATCTGATTAATCCAGCCTAATAAGAGAGATATCGTCAGATGTATACAGTTGAGTGACTAATGAAAAGTATCTGTGTTATTATAGCTTCAGATTTTGTACAACTGGAAGTAGTTTGTTCTGCTGAACCCAAAAGTGAAATTTGATGAAGGAAGCGAACAACCCATGTATGGTAAGGACTCTAGTTCTGTATTCACTATAGATTTTTGCCTTGAAGTGAAGCTTATTTATGAGGTCATTTTCAGGTTTGTTTACGATTTTCTATCAATTCGCTCTTAAACGCCGGTAGAGTTAAATCTCAAGAAAGCAAACCAGCTCTGCTTAACTAGCTAATATCTGCAATTGTGAAAATATATCACTTATATAAAATAACTGTCAGTTTATGTGCTTCCACTGACATAAGGAGGTATCATAGAATCTTTCAATTTAAATCCTATTATAATTTTTATAATATATAAATAGATTTCATTAGGTTTTAATTTTTCATTAACATCCCTGATCCCTGTAGGAAAAGCTTTTGACAAATTCTATAAAATTTCAAAGATTACCCTAATTTAAGTTATTAAATCCAAATTTAATGTCTAGTTTAATCGACCTTTTTAGGGTAGAAAATCAAACTATTCGATAAAGGATCTTTAAAAAATAGGATTGAGAACAATTGAATAAGAAAACCGATGGAATTGTAGTGATTGATGTATATAATTGACGTGATGTATTCATTTTGTGGAAGACATTTTAGTAATTTATAATTAACATTGTAAATGGAATATTTTTATACTTATTCCGTTTCTTTAAAATTTGACATTTTGAGGTTATGCACAATTTTTTAATGGAAAAAGAGAGGAGATGTGGGTCATAACAAAAAAATGAAAGAGAGGAGACAAGGGTAAATGTCGAGAAAGAGAGAGAGGATTCAATTGGTCTAACGTCTTTTATTTTGAAAGAAAATAACAACTTTAAAACGTTAATTATAAGAGTAATACTACACATACATCATTTTCATACAACATTATGTGGTAAGATATGATTGGCTAATTTAAAATTAAAATTAAACTTTCACCCAATCACATCTTGCCACATAACGTTGTATGAGAAATGTTGTATGGAAATGATATATGTGTAGTATTATTCTAATTATAAAGAAACGGAGGGGATAGTATATACTTAATACATGTATGCTGCAAAATCCTTATGAGCATGAAAACATAAGAAAGTTAATGATACCTCCATGGTATGATGAGGTAACACCACAAATCAATGAATGAATGATACGCAGTTGTAATAAGATTTTATCTACATTAAATAAAAAAGAAATAATCGTTTATCAACAATTCGTAATACAATTATATGAATATTGTTGATAGAGAAATATATAGCTCATAATTGTTGATAGAGAAATACATAGCTCAACAAGGCAGAAGATAATTTAAGCATTTTTGCATCATTACTAATATAAATATTGATCCTTAGATTACAATTAGAGTGTTTATTAATATCAATATTCACCTCACTGGTTGTAATGAGTGTTGCTAAATAGGACCCTCCACAAGAACGTTTCGATAGGAAAAATTGGAGGGCAAACTGGTAAGAGATGCCAGTTGTTACAAGAACAGTGAACTTAAACCAATATATTGTATCTACCTGCGTCCAGACTTCTTTAACTTAGATGATGGACTTGCGGTTTCCTTGAATGCAGACGGGCAGACGTCATTGACGCTGCACATTTCGCAACGAGGCCTGACAGGGGTACATATTGTTTGTCCAAATCCCACCTGTTTACGGGAAAAATTCAAGGCTTCAACAATTAATGGTATAGCAATATGAAATGATTGCGCAAACAAAAGCTTATGAAATTCAGGTGAGAAAGACACTGCATTTGCTGGAATCAAAGATTGAACAGAGCTCCACACTATTTAGGTAGAACAAACTAAAGCTCACCAGACAACTATATTCTCTTAAATGCCATAGTGTTTTCCTTTCACATCTTACCAATGAAACGAAAAAAAATTTGAATACGATAAATGTTAAAATATGTAACATTTACATGACAAAATTTTCAAAGAGCATATGTATGTGTGCTGTTTTGAGCTTGTCATTAAATGATAGGAACCCACTCCAATAACTCAACAATTTGGGCTGGGCCATGGGTCTTTCATGGGCTTGGGTAGAATTCTCCTTGGAAAATCGGCTTGCCAAGGGAGGGTACCCAAGCCTTTATAACCCATATGCCCACCCTTTTCCCTTTCAATGTGGGATCCTGACATTAAATAACTGAATCATATAATTGTTAGCGCATGTGCATGTATTATGAAAATAGCTCTAACATACCAAAAGAGGGTTAATAGGAACCCATTCTTCCTTTGGAAGCCATAGCTGTAATGCCTCTCTTGTTTCCTCTGGAGATGAAGTTTTCTAGAAAAGAACAAGAGAATTTGAAACTAAACAGTGCCGCTTGCTGAAGATAAAAGATAAAAAGTCCATAAAACAAAAAAAGTCAAGAAGAAAACCAATGCACTTATGAGCTGGATCTAAATCCAATGAAAATGACGAGGATTGGCTCAAGCATATCAACATGTTTAAAATTATTTTGGGCAAGAGAAGGTCAAGGACAGGAATTTTTTCTTTTCTTTTCAAACAAAATAATATTTTCTATCCATTTCCAAGGGTATACCTCAATTATCTTTCCCACTGGAAAATAGTGAACAAATTGGAAGACATGATCAGAATTGTATGCATGTTCTGAATAAAGTTAGGACATAGTCCATAATAAACGGAATATACGGCTAATTTGGCAGGGAAATGCTTATGTGCACCACACAATTTCAAAAGTCGACTTTTCNAAGAAGAAATAATCGTTTATCAACAATTCGTAATACAATTATATGAATATTGTTGATAGAGAAATACATAGCTCAACAAGAAAGAAGATAATTTAAGCATTTTGCATCATTACTAATATCAATATTGATCCGTAGATTACAATTAGATAGCGTTTGGTTCGGGATGATATAAGATTAATCTTGTAATCTTTATTTAATTTTCAAGATTCCTTCATTTGGTTGTTAAGTAATAAAAGATTACGTAATCTTTTATTGCAAATAGTTTTTACTATTGGTAACATTGAAGGTAATCAAATTACCTTCCCAATGAGTGTTAATATAAGATTACCGAGGTAATTTTAATTTTGATCCTATTTTGCCCTTAATCTTTTATCATTTCGGACAAATTTGTCCTCATATGTCTACCAAATAACAATTACTCAGACCCCTATATTTGAGAATTTAGCTAAAACATTCCCGCCACAAAAAAGTTTAAAAATTTATAAAATACCCCCAACCACCTAAGACCACCGCCGACCGCTAGCCACCACCGCTGGCCCCGGTGAAAGTCGTCATATCGACACAAGATCGACAGGATCTTGCCGATCATGTGCCGATAAGGACGTTTTCGGCTATGAATTTGTGATCCATGGCCGAAAATGACTAGATCTGGCCTTGACCGTGAAATGGTCGCCGTTTCACAACCAAAGATCTGGCCTTTTCACGGCCAGATCTGTGGCTGTTTCACGACCATATCTTTAGCCGTGAAACAACCAGATTCATAGCCAGATCTATCCGTGAAACGACCATATTCACGACTAGATCTGGCTGGATTAAGCCTTATCGAAGCACGATTAGCCAGATTCGATCGGTTGTGTGCCATTATGGCGACTGCCGGTGGTGGTGGCTGATTGCCGGCGGTGGCTTGGGGTGAGTGGAGGTGATTTTGCTACAAATTAAAGTTGTATTGGTTGGGGTGTTTTAGTAAAATTTCAAATATAGGAAGGTTAAAAGAAATGATTTAAAAAATAATAATAAAAATAATATTATATTATTATTTAAAAAGGAGAACAATTTAATAATCTACATAACATATCCACTCATTTATCCTCCCAACCAAACAAATTATTATAACATACCCACCAATTTAAACACATTTCTCTAAAGATTTCCTAATAATCTATCTTTTCAGTAATACAACATTTCTTAGTAATATAACATTTCTTGAATCAAACGCACCCTTAGAGTGTTTATTAATATCAATATTCACCTCCTAATTTTATATTACGACCAGTTCAACATTTCCAATGAGTGTTGCTAAATAAGACCCTCCACATCACATTGCTCCCGTTTCCTACTCACCAAAACATAGGGAGCAGCCATCTATCAAGACTAAAGCTCAAAATGCGTACTAATCGTAAAAGGTAATACAACACATAATGACCCTTCAAAAAGAACGTTCGTCATCACCACCCCCCCCCNCAGATATAATATACTACTATTATGATTTCTTTAATAATCATATTATTGTTTGAATTTTGACCCCCATAAATAACTATTTTAGCTACACCCTTGAGAAGAACTTCTAGTAGTAAATCTTTTGAAAATACAATTTGTATAAATTAAAAAAAAAAAAAAAGATAAAAATATTAAATGTTTGATTATGAAAATGTAAAAGAATTTTCTAGTATTAAATTGCAAAAAATAGGTTTTAATGTCAAGAAGGGATGAAGTGAAATATCTAAAATATTATAAAGATATATTAATATTTCAAAACTTTAAGTAAGCTAAAAAAAGAGTTAAGGGGAGAAGCTCAAATTTTGGGCTTCTATTAAAAGAAAACATTAAATAGGTTATTTAATCATCCAATAGGACATATTGAGATATGAAAGGATCGATGACTTACCGAACAGGGGACTAATTGGGTTTATAAAACTAATTACAAATTATGCATAACATCACCCAATTTTTTACTCCAAAGTTGTTAGGTCAATTTTTATGTAATATGACCAAATACGAACATAAATAAGTAAAACAAGTAATAACACAAATTAAAGAGAAGGGATAGAAAAATCAAACACGCGATATATAGTGGTTTAGCAAACCCGCCTACGTCCACTTGGACCACTCCGTCAAGTATCTCCCTTGAAGATTTCCACTATCACACTTAGTATTCAACCAAGACTAGGATTTTCTTCATACAAGCTAGCTTTCAAAGTGCAACTAAACCTTACACAAGTGTTTTATCCAACACTTCAACCCAATTGACTTCAAAGTGTCAATTAGACCTCTCACAACCACTAAGACTTACTTTCTCTCATTAGAAAAGTCTAAATCCCCCAAGAGTGAAACCCACTCTTTTAAAATTCAAAATTTAATTTAATACAACACTGCAAATGCTCTTAATGGAGTGAATGAACAAGTGTTTAGCCCAAATCCCAATACAACNAGCTTGTTCTGCTGAACCCAAAAGTGAAATTTGATGAAGGAAACAAACAACCCATGTATGGTAAGGACTCTAGTTCTGTATTCACTATAGATTTTTGCCTTGAAGTGAAGCTTATTTATGAGGTCATTTTCAGGTTTGTTTACGATTTTCTATAAATTCGCTCTTAAACGCCGGTAGAGTTAAATCTCAAGAAAGCAAACCAGCTCTGCTTAACTAGCTAATATCTGCAATTGTGAAAATATATCACTTATATAAAATAACTGTCAGTTTATGTGCTTCCACTGACATAAGGAGGTATCATAGAATCTTTCAATTAAAATCCTATTATAATTTTTATAATATATAAATAGATTTCATTAGGTTTTAATTTTTCATTAACATCCCTGATCCCTGTAGGAAAAGCTTTTGACAAATTCTATAAAATTTCAAAGATTACCCTAATTTAAGTTATTAAATCCAAATTTAATGTCTAGTTTAATCGACCTTTTTAGGGTAGAAAATCAAACTATTCGATAAAGGATCTTTAAAAAATAGGATTGAGAACAATTGAATAAGAAAACCGATGGAATTGTAGTGATTGATGTATATAATTGACGTGATGTATTCATTTTGTGGAAGACATTTTAGTAATTTATAATTAACATTGTAAATGGAATATTTTTATACTTATTCCGTTTCTTTAAAATTTGACATTTTGAGGTTATGCACAATTTTTTAATGGAAAAAGAGAGGAGATGTGGGTCATAACAAAAAAATGAAAGAGAGGAGACAAGGGTAAATGTCGAGAAAGAGAGAGAGGATTCAATTGGTCTAACGTCTTTTATTTTGAAAGAAAATAACAACTTTAAAACGTTAATTATAAGAGTAATACTACACATACATCATTTTCATACAACATTATGTGGTAAGATATGATTGGCTAATTTAAAATTAAAATTAAACTTTCACCCAATCACATCTTGCCACATAACGTTGTATGAGAAATGTTGTATGGAAATGATATATGTGTAGTATTATTCTAATTATAAAGAAACGGAGGGGATAGTATATACTTAATACATGTATGCTGCAAAATCCTTATGAGCATGAAAACATAAGAAAGTTAATGATACCTCCATGGTATGATGAGGTAACACCACAAATCAATGAATGAATGATACGCAGTTGTAATAAGATTTTATCTACATTAAATAAAAAAGAAATAATCGTTTATCAACAATTCGTAATACAATTATATGAATATTGTTGATAGAGAAATATATAGCTCATAATTGTTGATAGAGAAATACATAGCTCAACAAGGCAGAAGATAATTTAAGCATTTTTGCATCATTACTAATATAAATATTGATCCTTAGATTACAATTAGAGTGTTTATTAATATCAATATTCACCTCACTGGTTGTAATGAGTGTTGCTAAATAGGACCCTCCACAAGAACGTTTCGATAGGAAAAATTGGAGGGCAAACTGGTAAGAGATGCCAGTTGTTACAAGAACAGTGAACTTAAACCAATATATTGTATCTACCTGCGTCCAGACTTCTTTAACTTAGATGATGGACTTGCGGTTTCCTTGAATGCAGACGGGCAGACGTCATTGACGCTGCACATTTCGCAACGAGGCCTGACAGGGGTACATATTGTTTGTCCAAATCCCACCTGTTTACGGGAAAAATTCAAGGCTTCAACAATTAATGGTATAGCAATATGAAATGATTGCGCAAACAAAAGCTTATGAAATTCAGGTGAGAAAGACACTGCATTTGCTGGAATCAAAGATTGAACAGAGCTCCACACTATTTAGGTAGAACAAACTAAAGCTCACCAGACAACTATATTCTCTTAAATGCCATAGTGTTTTCCTTTCACATCTTACCAATGAAACGAAAAAAAATTTGAATACGATAAATGTTAAAATATGTAACATTTACATGACAAAATTTTCAAAGAGCATATGTATGTGTGCTGTTTTGAGCTTGTCATTAAATGATAGGAACCCACTCCAATAACTCAACAATTTGGGCTGGGCCATGGGTCTTTCATGGGCTTGGGTAGAATTCTCCTTGGAAAATCGGCTTGCCAAGGGAGGGTACCCAAGCCTTTATAACCCATATGCCCACCCTTTTCCCTTTCAATGTGGGATCCTGACATTAAATAACTGAATCATATAATTGTTAGCGCATGTGCATGTATTATGAAAATAGCTCTAACATACCAAAAGAGGGTTAATAGGAACCCATTCTTCCTTTGGAAGCCATAGCTGTAATGCCTCTCTTGTTTCCTCTGGAGATGAAGTTTTCTAGAAAAGAACAAGAGAATTTGAAACTAAACAGTGCCGCTTGCTGAAGATAAAAGATAAAAAGTCCATAAAACAAAAAAAGTCAAGAAGAAAACCAATGCACTTATGAGCTGGATCTAAATCCAATGAAAATGACGAGGATTGGCTCAAGCATATCAACATGTTTAAAATTATTTTGGGCAAGAGAAGGTCAAGGACAGGAATTTTTTCTTTTCTTTTCAAACAAAATAATATTTTCTATCCATTTCCAATGGTATACCTCAATTATCTTTCCCACTGGAAAATAGTGAACAAATTGGAAGACATGATCAGAATTGTATGCATGTTCTGAATAAAGCTAGGACATAGTCCATAATAAACGGAATATACGTCTAATTTGGCAGGGAAATGCTTATGTGCACCACATAATTTCAAAAGTCGACTTTTCTTTGACATTGATTCTGCTCAAGATGGTCATATATACAGATACCATAACTTCACCAATTTCAATTTAAAACTTAAAATATTTTATCAAATTGCAAATTATCAAAATGCAGATTAAAATTTTTAAAGAAAATTTTGGCTAGAAAATGTGCAATGATGCTCATCATCTGGGTATAAGAAGAGATTACCTGCTTTCTGCCTGGCTGAGATACCCATCCAAGCCGATTGCATATACGGTGTACATGAGTATCTACACATATCCCTTGAACATTGTCCCATCCAACATTCATGACCTAAAGAACCATGAGACCAAATAACTTTGTTGAAATTCACTTTTCTTTCAGTAGAAAATGAAACAAATAAGTTTTGGAGAACTATGTTGATGTTCTGTTTAAGGTAATTGTTATTTGATCGTACCAAATGAGCCATCTTAGGACCTATTCCTGGAAGTAAGAGCAACTCCTCCAACGAGCTAGGTATGTCACCATCATATTTCATGAGACAAAGCTTAGCAATTTTCTTCAAATTACTAGCCTTTCTTGTATAAAATCCAACCTGTTGGAAGGAAGCTATAGAAAGTCATAAGCTGATACAGTAAAAACTAACAAATAAGATTAATAAAAATATGTAGCAATATTAAAGTTATTTGGATACTAAGCCTGTCAAAATAGTCATCCTTAGCTATCTTAAAGTTTGACATAGGTCATATGACAAAGCCTTGGTGCAATTGGCTCCTACGGCAACATACTGGGTAAATCAAGTCCTTGATGGCTGCTTCATGAGCTCTGTCAATGGCTTCTGCGGTAAGCAGATCATTTTGAAGGAGTCGCTGTATTGCTCCTGCACTTCCAAGAGAAACTAAATGAAGTGAACCAGTATAAAGTGCATGAACAACAGACTTGTATACTTAATTTAGAAGGCTTTTCACTGATTTTCTTCCACACGTTTGTTATCAAAATATTATAAAGGAAACCAAAATATTTACTCCTCATTGATCTTTGGAAATTCAAGTGCGATTTAAGCTGAAATGTAAGAACATATAGCAGTAGTATCTAGAAGCAAGAGTTCATTTCAGTGATTGTTTATATATCAGCAAACCTGATACTTCTACATGGTTGAAGAAACCTCAGGTAGAACCATATGGCATATTTAGAGAACATGCTTCATAACTGTATGACAGGCAAAAACCTTGGGGATTTTCAACAAATGTTTCAAACTGTGAAGTTAGACAAACCAAATAACTGTTAAAAGCTTCAACTTCACCCACCACAAGATTGTGTACAAGCCAGGATAAGACCAAGTTTCTACACTAGTTTAATGTGACACCACAGTTGAGGAAGTGTGTCGATGTTATTGTCATCACATCAACAAACTTCCAACGTGATTCTCATGACCTGAATAGAAGAACCAAGAAGTGCAAACACCAGTTAAAAACAAAAGTAGCCGGTGGAACTATTTCCAGAACACTCACGGTCCCTTGCTAAAGTGGGCCTTTACCTATTACCGTAGAACTTTTAGGTCAAGTGGTGACTTAATATTTATAACAGCTTTTATGATGATTCACAGGCCTTTGTGAGCGGCACAAGCTCAAATTCTTATAGATGCATTAGTAATTATAATGTATTCTAAACGAAAAAGTAACTTTCCTGACTTCCAGCTTTCTACTTAAGTGATAATACATCATGCAATCTGATGTTATCTTGACACGTTTGAACTCAAGATTATACTAATTGAGTTCCCAATTTCCAGAATGTAATGATTCTGCTCTATGGTTATCCATTATTCTGAGGGTATTTTATGGAGTCCGTTCAACTCAAAGCTCAAGTATCACTCATCCTAATGAGCTAAGACTCAGCATCAATAACTGCATTTATTTTGAAGCACAAGCATGAAACTCCCCCAAGTTCACTAAGCCAACCTCCCTTTATTGGCTAATTTTTGCATAAGTAAGCCATTTTACTCTTTCTAGTTTGCAGAAATTTGTTCTTAAATCTGAAATGGTGATCCAAAACAACAGCTTGTCCCCCCAGTCAGTGTGATTTTCTTTTATTTATATGTTTTGGGCTAAAAGAATTATAGGCTGGCTCCAATTTGCAGTTTAACCAAATGTTCATATTTACCATCACAGATTATGACTACTGGCTACACAACTCCAAACATACTAATTCCTGATAGAAAGATAAAGAAAAGCTTGTTCTATAAATATCATTCTCAACTGAAAAATAAAAGGAAGAAATTGAATTGTAAGAACTTGCCATGAGTGACATTATCCTTGGTTTGGCTTGATAGAAGTGCAGATACTAAGACTGCAAACCTTCTTTCCTGACAAGATAAAAGATAGAACTAAATCCAGCTATACTATGGCTTACACATCAAATATGTGATAAAATCACACAGCATTGACAATTTAGAAGCTAACAAAAAGTCTTCCAGAATGTAAAGGAACTTTAAAAATATTCTGATAAGAATTTGCTACATGAAGTTCAAGGTTCACATCAGGTTGCATGCAGTCCCTCACACTTCCAATAATAGCATCAAAGCAAAATAGATGCTCATGTCATAATTAGGGTGTAAAACTGATACTACTAGTAATTCCTGCTACTTCTATCCATAGCAGATATATTATGATCATACCTTAGGTGGCAGAGAACTGCCGGCTTTCTCACATCCCATAGAATCTACAGGTGCATCTTCTGAAGCCCGCATTTTGCGAATTCCCTCAAGAACTTTTTCCCAATTGGCAGGTGGTTCACCTATAGAAAATTAAGTGCATTAATTAGGTTTTTGACTGACTCAATGGCAGAAGTGTCCACGAAAACAGAATTCAACTAGAAAGATCCCTATTTTTTAATACAGTGGAAAGTTGACATAAAGAAAGAGCTAACACGCCGTAATTCTCCTCTATAACAAGTTTAGATTTTCGCATGATTATTGAAACTATGGAGTTGGTTTTCTCAACTTTACATGCTCAACTGACACTTTGTAGCTTATGCTGCATTGCTGTTCATATCTTTAGCTAGCATCAATTGTTGAGCAGCAAAAGCAAACAGAGTAAATGTAGTTAACCCCTTTAAGGTTGGCCTAATACTTATGGACAGGCAGAAACCTCCTGTTAATACACTGAATTCAAAAACTTATTTAACCCAACGCTAAAAGCAACTTGATAATCAAAATCATGAAAGTCTCCTGTCCATCAAATGTTTAACAAGAGACCTGTAAAACAAATATTCTATGTTGTCAAAACTGAAATTACATTGAAAAAAATTAACAAACCCACTTCTCCTGAGACTGCATCATTGTATCCAATTTTCAGCATACAACAAGCTTTCCCAGGAAATGTCATTTAATTATCGTTTCAAATGCTAGAAAGATTAGTAATAAGTGCTAGAGTGGAATGTCACCTATAAATGGAATTAATAGATATTACTCTATCAAACTCTTTTTCATCACCAATGCAAAAAAACAATTTGAAAGCATATACATCTACATCTACATCTACCTCTAAGCCCAATTAGAGAGGCAGCTTCAGTTTTCACAACAAGTGCATCCGGTTTGGATTTTGACTTCCCTGCAAAACCATCTCCATTAGAAAAAACTGCATGCCTAAATCTGTCAAAACTATGTGTGTATGTTGTTAAGCATGCATCCTCATCAGTTTGAACAACCATGGGATGGATGTTGACCAGAAACAGTTAATGACTTTTGGCCATACAAAACATTACAAAAGTGATAATATTTTCGTACAGTATCTCAAGATGTCATACATGGGCAAAGAAAATAATCATTGGAGCTTACTTGACTGCACAGATCCATTTTCCTTCTTGTATGCAAATTCTTCTATATCCGGTAGGTCACTTGGCTGTACTAAAAAGCAACAGGAAAAAAAATGACCAATGACTTCCTCTTTATGGATCACCTATTGAAATTTTATGATAAGCAAGGTTCAAACATCAATTCAAAGTTAACCATCAATCATCTAAAGGGTCGCAGATTCAAGTTTATTAGCCCATGGCCACAAGAATATAGAGGGTAAGGTTAAGCTTTTGGCAGCTTGGTCATCCTAGGGTTCATCATCAGTCCCAATATCCATTTGGCATGGACTCAGGACTATAATCATTAAGACCACCGGGATGAACATATATTTTGTTAATACAATTTGGATTTTTTGATTACATTTATGACATACTATGATGCTCAGAAACTTTCAGGAAATGTAGTCAATTATCCCTCTCCAAAATAAACATAAAACTCTGACATAAGTGGAATGAAGCATTGTAATATTTGAAACAAAATAAAACCAATTCAATACACAGAATAAAAATAAATAAATAAAAGTATTATAACAAATACACCATAATCATAAAGAAGCATTAGCCATTAAACTCTAGAAAGCATAAAATTTGAAGCAAAACAACAACTTATACAAGCATTCATAAATACAAGTAAGGTTCAGTTAAAAGCAAAAATACTAACTCGAAAACCAATTTCTTTTTTCTTTTCCATTCAACAAAAAGCCACAAACAAGCTCTTATTTAAGCATCAAATTTAGTAATAATTTCTACCCACAAACTGCATTATATAGCAAAATCTAAAACACACCAAAAATGAAATTAGCACTTGATTATAACAAAAGGGTATCTTACTTTGTGGTCATTTTGAGGCTTGTTAAGTCTGTTTCTCCGGACGAAAACACGAAGCTCTGAAGAGAAAAAACATGAGAGCAAGTGAAATAAAACAACTTTTAATGGAATTTGATGGTGTTTGAGTTATATCTAACCTGGCTTTGAAGGAGGCATGGAGATTTCAGGCTTGGATTGAAGGCGTTTGGAGGACAATCTTGTGTTTGGCATTCTGAGAAGACTGCGAGACATTTGGGGGTTTGACAATAATAAAATTGGAGTTGGAGGGACCCTCTGTAATTTTACAAATGGTTTTTATGTTGCAGTTAATTGAAACCGGTACTGCTTCGGTACTGTTACCGATTTTTTGTCGTGTTGAGAAACAATAGTATATATTTTGATTAAATAAAATTTAGTCATAAAAATATTGGACCAAATATTTTATTAATGAAACCAGTAAGTGCTTAGAAAATTCGTAAAAATTATGAGGGTTTATAATATAATTACTAGAGAGAAATTGCAACAACTCGAAACATTAAGAATAACAGTATATTTGATACGACCACTTCTAAGGGTATTAGAACCATAGACAGCCAAGGTGTCACTTGACCCCCTCTAACTAGGAAACTTTTTATGGGTACATTCAAATGTCAATTTAAATTTTAAATTTCACGAAAAATATACTTAAATTATCAAATTTATCATTTCAAGCAACATATCCATACAAAATTCCATATCCAACATTTTATTAAATCGTACAAACTTTTATATCTTTCATTTAGTTTCACAAAGAACAAAAGATTCATTTTTTTTTTCATCTACTTTCTAAAATTACCAATAGTTTTAGATATTTCTTAATTTGTGTTTATGTAAGAAATCACAATAACAAGAAATATGTGATGGATAGTATTAGAATTACATTAGACGTTTGCGTAATCCTGTAGATCAGCGATGGGATAAGACAATTGTTTAATTTGTTAATATTTCTATAATTTTTTGATCAGTTTCATTATACCCATTGTTTAATTTCTCAATATTTCGTACGAAAAACAAAACTAGAAAGCAAGTGTTAAATGTCGTAATTACAATATAGGCTACGAACTTCAAGTGAAAAGTAGTAGATATCTTAAACTTTATTGTGACTTACTTGGAAGTACTATCTATTATAAGTGTTCATTAGTGAAATTTTATTCATGTTTTTATAATGAATATTTAAATTATTATTTCACAAAATTTATTAATGTATCAATCTTTTAATGCATATTATACCAAATATAATATACTACTATTATATTTCTTTATAATCATATTATTGTTTGAATTTTGACCCCCATTAACTATTTTAGCTACACCCTTGAGAAGACTTCTAGTAGTATCTTTGAAAATACAATTTGTAAAATTAAAAAAAAAAAAGATAAATTAAATGTTTGATTATGAAAATGTAAAAAAAATTTTCTAGTATTAAATTGCAAAAATAGGTTTTAATGTCAAGAAGGGATGAAGTGAAATATCTAAAATATTATAAGATTAATATTTCAAAACTTTAAGTAAGCTAAAAAAAGAGTTAAGGGGAGAGCTCAAATTTTGGGCTTCTATTAAAAGAAAACATTAAATAGGTTTTTTATCATCCAATAGGACATATTGAGATATGAAAGGATCGATGACTCGAACAGGGGACTAATTGGGTTTATAAAACTAATTACAAATTACATAACATCACCCAATTTTTTACTCCAAAGTTGTTAGGTCATTTTTTGTAATATGACCAATACGAACATAAATAAGTAAAACAAGTAAACACAAATTAAAGAGAAGGGATAGAAAAATCAAACACGCGATATAAGTGGTTTAGCAAACCCGCCTACGTCCACTTGGACCACTCCGTCAAGTATCTCCCTTGAAGATTTCCACTATCCACTTAGTATTCAACCAAGACTAGGATTTTCTTCATACAAGCTAGCTTTCAAAGTGCAACTAAACCTTACACAAGTGTTTTATCCAACACTTCAACCCAATTGACTTCAAGTGTCAATTAGACCTCTACAACCACTAAGACTTACTTTCTCTCATTAGAAAGTCTAATCCCCAAGAGTGAAACCCACTCTTTTAAAATTCAAAATTTAATTTAATACAACACTGCAAATGCTCTAATGGAGTATGAACAAGGTTTTAGCCAAATCCCAATACAACCTAACTACAAAGTATACAAGTGATGGTGTGCAAGTGTTAGCCCCTTAGAGGGTGTTTGTCTAAGCTTATAACTGGTCAAACTTGCTTATAGCTCTAAAATTAAGCTGACCTGTTTGTTTATAATTTTTTGAGCTTATAAGTTGAGCTTATAAGCTAAAAAATAAGTTGAGGGAGAGGTACTTTTTTTTTTGGCTTATAAGCACTTTGCTTATAAGTTAGTTTGACCAAGTATATTACCACATTATCCTTGTTTAATTTTAAAATTCCATAGTATCCATTGTTATGTAGTACCTTTTTTAGTAATTTTATATAAATATACTTATAAGCCACATTTTACCAACACGTCAATTACTTATCAGTCACTTATAAGTACTTTAACCAACACGTAATTGCTTAAAATTTCAAATGCTTATAAGTTAATTTTAGCTTATAAGCAATGGTTGCTTATAGCTAATTTTCATAGCTTAGACAAACGCCCCCTAAGGTTAGATGAGGAATTTGCACGTGAAAACTCTTTGAATGATTGAATACTTGGTTTGATGTTTTGCAAGTTTAGAGTGACAAAAGTTGATTCAATATAACTTGTTGGGTTTTATAGAAAATCCTAAAAAAAAAAAAAAATCCATTAACATAAAAACAAATATTCCAGTTTGCATCATTTGGTCAATTTAATGGTCTTTTCGGTCAACCTATTTATGATGTGTCACTACCGTTGTAACTCCCAATTACATTATGTCGTCCTAATGGCGCATTTAGTCATCCTAATAGGCTATTTGGTCGACCTAATAGTGGCTTAGTCGTTTTTTTAACAAGCATTTTGTAATGCTTCTGTCCTAATAAGGACAACTATTTGGTAGCCTGTTCAGTTGCCCTAATAGGTTTAACTGCGAGATTATAAAACTTTTCCAAAGATTAATTTCACCCTCAAACTTTAGCATCACTCATATATATACAATCCATGCCAAATAATATTTTGGATTGTATATGATTCTAAAAGCTCATAGTAAGCAATCAGCAATATTAGTCACATATAATTGTTTTTAAATTAAAATAGGTTCTCTATAAAAAGCAATGTCATATCTAAATTAAATTTCTATGATAATATTATTAACTATTAGTTTAAGCAAACTTTGGCCTTTAATATTTTCCTCACCATGTATCAAATATCTATCCGAAAACATCTTTTATAATCTTCAAAAACTTATTAACTGAATGACATTTTGAAGCCTTATGTAATTTTGATGGGCTTAAGTCCAAGGCCCCTAAAGAGCTAAAGAGACAGAATAATAAAAGGTTATAAATAGACTCTCTAATAAGACTTATTAAATTTATTGATGTTAAGTTTTTGTTTTGTTTTTTTTTTTTCCCCAGAAAGCATTACAAATCTTTTTCAACATCGCTACCACCTAAACTTGTCTAGCATTCATTTTCTTACAAAAAAAAAAAAAAAGAGCTTTCAAATATCAAATTATTGAATTTTTGTATAGCACATTGTGAAGCATAAAATTGAATGGAATATAACCTAATATCAACTAGGTATGAATATAACCTAAATTCAGAAACCTAGCTATGAGAAATATTTTATCGACTATAATTTCTTAAACCTAGGTATGAAATAATGAAAGATAAAATTGAATGATTTAAAATATCAACATATAAAAGCGACAATCTCCTATTTCTTTCCTAAAGTTTAATAATACTTTTTTTTTTTTTTTTTTTTTTTTAAAAAAAATTTCCTCTTCAGATTTTGATCAATACATCATGAAATTATTTACGATAATGTGAACTCCAAGAAATTGGCATTCATTCTGAAATTGGCATCATGCTATATATTCTATTAATTATCTAATTCTACTAAATTCTAATGACTTCTTTAAAGTTTCAAATAAATTTTTTCTTCATAATAGAAGGCCAAATATATTATGCAAATTAATATTACCTCCAGTAAATTTTGTGTCATCTCAAAAATATCACCCATGTTTCACCTTAATTTTTACAAGACATAAAATAATAAACAAGATTTGTTAAGAGTAAACCATAGCAAACTAATTCAAAAATCAATGGAGGATTTTTTTTACTTTATCTGAATTATTTGCAAAGATCAGGGACTTGAGATTTATATGCAAATTATAAGAAAATTTTCATCTTTATTTTAATTTTCCAATCACTCATGCTACATATTAGAATAATCTTTGTTTTTTTTGTTTGTTTTTACTTTTTTCAAGCAAAACACGCACTTGTAAATTTTAGTTGGAATATTTTAAGCGAATCTCAACTATACAAAAGAAATTTATTGATGGAAAAAATATAAAAGATATTCACTTAATAATGGAGGAATAATGAGGATTAATCTTGACATATATATTTAGATTTATAAAAACGTTTTGATCATTAATTCTTCATTAAATAATAATTGTTCATATACCGACAATATAGAAAAAGAAAAAGGTTAGCCGGTTGAACCTTCAATATTTTAATTACCAAAAAAAAAAAAAAAAAAAAAAAAAAAACCTAGTGTTATTGTCACTTTATAAGACAAGTCTATGTTTTGCTGTCTTTATGGAAGAAATATTATGTCGACAAAAGTTGCCTAATGTCACAACCCTATTTGAATCGTGTAGCCTTAGTACACAAACATGAAATCAAATGCCAAGCAAGCCTAAATAAACCCACAAACTCTTAAACAAAAATAAGAAACAAAGAACATGAAGAACAGAGATTGAAAGTAAAACTCTATGGTATTGCTCTTAATTGAATATAATGGTTAAAATGAGTTAAACCTAAAACTAGCGAGTTTTATATAGAAATTTACAAGTGGATCCGACAGTCTAGATCCGTACCTAGCCATTAAGATGGATAACTATGATTAATCATACAAGCATTAGAATCCTAGTATTATTCTTATGTCTTTTTGGTGAAGGAACATTCTTGGAAGCTTCTAGAAAGATTCTCTAGCATATTCTTTGATGCTTCTAGGTCAAGTTTAGGTGAAGCCCATTGAATTAGATATTGGGCCTTGTATGGACTTGGGCTTGGGTGGGACATGAAATTCTCCCCCACCTAATTGG